ATGGGCCCATGGACTATCTGTATGTATTTCGCCGTTTGTTTTACTGTGAGCAATGAATTATCTTTCTAGAATCTTAGTGTACCCAATTTAAACTCATAGTCTGCAGCATCGAGTTGTTATTATACAAAATTAAGTGCAAACTATATTTTTCATGCTTATGCAACGCTATAGATGCACATCCATGTTGGAATCTGCAGGAGAGTTAACGTTAGCTCTCAGTAGCCAGTGACGGAGGTGACTTCAGTTAAGGTGCATTCAGGCGCAATTCAGTGAAAGTGTGTATTTGGCAAAGATGCATTTATAACGTCAGCAAGATGTGTTCAATGTAGTACAGTAAAATGCCGTCTTTAGCGAGAAATATCAATAAATACAGTTTTATTAAGGAGTTGTTTTACTACAACATAAAGTAGATATTAGACAGTATGCAAACGAGATAAAGGAGTGTATATTGAAGTAATTAGGATCTGCTGTGTAGAGAATCATGGAATTGTACTGGTATCTAACAATACCATCCTTAATAAATGCCATCCTTATAAATGTATATAAATACAATACCGTTTTAAATGTTACTTGTGTTTTAATGTTTGATTCCATTAGTTGAATTAAATATGTTTTAATGAATTCTACTAAAATGATTGTTACATTGTCATCATGTAACTATTTTGTTCTTTTATTTGCCTCACCAGAAAACAGTCACACCTCCTCTTGAAGACATTTTGCCTCCTGCTATGGACTTCAGGTTCACATTAGGTAAGCCCTTGAGTGTCAGACTAGTTGTTGTTTCAGAGGTTAATTCAAGACGTGTTATGTTTACATACTAATGTAATGAGCATCGGATAAACGTACCCATTTCTATTTTTTGAATCACAGATGGGATGGAGGTGTAAACTATGCAGCACTAATGTCACCACTCAAAGTGATATTTTAAAACATTATCGACTCCGTCATGGAACCTTTGGACAGAAACGTGCCTTGCCCTGCATTCATGTAGACTGGCCTGCGCTCTCACTTATCAAGATAAAAGTTGAAATAATCGCCTGTTCTTTTTATTCTAGGACCCATGTGCCACTTTATATACATCTCTGAGCATGAGGTGGGGTTACAAATAAGTAGTTGGACATTTTATGAACTATATCAATATCATGACTATTTGGTTCATTTTCTTGCAAACCAGCCTTTTTTTGATGGCTTAAACCCCTTGTAATGCATGTGAATAGCACCTCTGTTACCGTCTGTTAACAGCTAATGTAAACTGGCTCGTTATGTTTTCAAGACGGATTTGATTTTTGTTTTGAGGAAAACACATGGTGTGTCCTGGTTTGTACTCAATTTAGTGTTTTGTTTGTATTTACAGGGAACAGCAGAGGTTGAAGTGCAACAAGCTCGTGATGCACAGCATGAAGTTATACATTGCCCAAGAGCCAGATGGAGTTATAACCATCAAGTAATAACCATGTGTCTCCATGTATGTTAATGTGTTGTGCTTTTAAACAAACTTGTTACTCTTTTATGACAACTGTTTTTGAAATAATCACATTTTAATAAAATGTATTAACATGTCCATAACGTTCCCTTTTTTAATTTATTTGTTTAATCTGCAATGTTTCAATGCTATCAAATATTTAAAGGGTTGGATTGAAATCAGGAAGAGTTTGTCGTATATAGGTTCCGGCAATTCAATTGTGTTTTCTAATTTACTTTATTCTCGTGTGGTTCTTAGCAGATTGTTATTTGCATTGGTTACACTTAATATCTGGGCTTTTAATTGTAGGCTCATCTCATCTTTTCATATGCAGAAAGAATCACATTAGTGAGTTTAGCCAACTCCTATAATTGCTTGGAACCACTTGACACATATTTTTTAAGTTTTAGCAAAGTAACACATTCTTGAGTAGAGGAAAACAAAAAAAAGTGCATTTCACCAACTCAAAAAATGCAAAATTTGACTAAACTCTTAAAATGGCTTGGAACCGCTTGACACACATTTGTTAAGTTTTAGCAAAGCAACAGTTTTTACAGTGTAGGACAAAGGGGAAATGAGAATAGGAAATCCCCAAAATATCTGAGCGCTTTTGAATCATCTGTCGAAAATCGGGTATTACGTTTTTTTCGTTTGTTCTTTTACTTAATCAATATTTGTTCTATTACTTAGCTTGGTGAACTGGAATAGCACTGAGATTATATCTCTTAAAACTGCTGCAAGTTCCTGATCATGACACAGATATTTTATTGTATCTAAAGGTAATGGGTAAACATACGACCGTGTGGGATTAAGGGGGATTCTTTGGCAAACATGGAAAAAACTAATAAATCATAACACATGTTTCCATTTGTGTATATTCACCTGAAACTAATAAGTGTTGTTTTTTCGTTACCTTACAATGAGCCTTTCATATCTATGGGAAACAAGTCCAAACGTATATAGAATAGTGGCTAATGGACACCTGCTGTTGTACAATGAAGTAAGTGACCAGAAATACATTAGCAAAGCGGTGCCTCAATGATAGGGATCTGGATGGTGCAAAGACATAATCAGGTATATACAGTTATGTTAATATGTTTACCTCCACCAAGGAGGTAATTTATTTGGTTTGTTTTACTTGTTTGTCAGCAGGATTACGGAAAGATGGTCTGATTCATTGTGTGGGCCAAGGAAAACAGCTATAATTTTGGAATGGAAAATAATCAGTGTGGATACAATTATTGTTTTAACCTTCATTATTGCGAGACAGGGTCTGGCCTTTGGGGAAGGTACATACTCTCCGAGGGCCCTTCTAGTTTTATTGTAGAATCATGTTTTTTTCCTTTGGTAGAGGACTTGAATCATTACTGTTTACTTTAACTAAATCCATTTTGTTTGTAGAAGTCACACACTTTGCTATAACCCCCACATTACCACCACCCCCCCTTTTTATTGTATTCTACTCTTTGTTCCTTCCATCCATTTTTCAATCACTTTTTCCTTGATGTGTAGACTTGATTTCTCCCTCCTCTCTTCCCCTATCTCTGTGATTTATACGTCCACAGTGTGTTTTCACCCGCTACCTTGATGAGTGCTCAACCACACATGCACACCCAAATAGATGGATGAGCTGCTGATAGCTAAACCAGCCAGACTTCACTGTGAATTATAATCACCTTCAATCTGTGTCTCTGAATCCCTGCCCAGTTCTTGTGTGTTTGTGTGTGTGTGTGTCACTGTTCCTGCTTATTCTCTCGGTCCCCTGGTGTTTGACCCATCTTTCTGTTCTATCGAGGTTTCATGTGAGCTGGAATATAATTATATTTCCATTGCTGTCACATCGTCAATGGCAAAGTGTGTGTCTCTTTATGTGAATAACGGGTGGTCTAGCAGACACTGAGGTAGCAGGGGAGCACTCTGGAAATATAAATCTCAGAAAGAAAGCAAGGCAGAGAGAGGACATTTGAGGGACTATATCTTCAATTCTTACCAGAAACCTATTCTTATACACCGAAAATATGCTCTCTAGAGCTTAACTAACTTTGAACTTTTTTAAATTCCCTAAATATTCAAATCCAATGAGAACATCTCAGAGATAAGCCAAAGCACTCTTTTGTGGTAATTTCAAGCAATCTGTTGGATATAGTAAGACTTAAACCTTGAGTTAAAGCCCTATTATGCACATTTCAAGACAATTCAGGTTCAGATTTGTATTTTGTGCAACATGTTTACATACTTTAATGTTCAAAAAGATCTTTATTTTTCTCATACTGCCTGTGCTGCAGCACCTCTTGCTCTTTTCACCCTCTGTCTGAAACCAGAGCCCAGTCTGCTCTGATTGGTAAGCTGGCTGGCTCTGTTATGATTGGTCAACCGCTTAGAGATGTGCCACACCTTAGCCTATCGTACAATGTATTGGAGTGCAAGTGTTACATGTCACTATGTTATGGAAAAGCACTAAACAAAGGAGTCCAAGTGGGAGGGAACTTTGAGATTTGTTGTCTTTGCAGACCCTTTACATGCACAACAACCTATATAACACTACAGGAAAGGGAAAATCCCCCAAAAAGTAATAGGGCCTCTTTAAAGACATTCAGACTCAAGGCAAAAATGACATGAATGACCACAAAAAATGCTTTCCAAATAGCATTTTGAGGGCTACTGCGGAAAACACACCTTCTATTGCAACCTGACACTTAATTATTCAGATGAAATAATTGAAATAAGGAACCCAAAATGTAGTCCTTTTCTAGATTAAAAAGGTAATTAACATTTTAAAATACAGGCGATGAGAGGGCAACTGCAATCTAGGTCAGTGCATTGCAATGAAGAATATTAATAGAACAAATCTATCAGTTGCACATGATATTGAACCTTTACTGCTCTAATAACCACATATGTTCATTGGCTGTTTACGTTTCAGTAGATGAATTTGTCTTAAAACCCACTTTTTCTAGTATTTGTCCCAATTCATAACTGTTAGTAAACACTGAAATGACTAGGATATCTCTGATGTTAAAAATTTACATTTTTATGGAAATCTTTCAAAAACTAACCCCAAAGTGCCTCCAACTTATTATTCATATATCCCATACTGTACATCCTCATTAAGGTGTATTACCATGAAGTCATATGGGGAGAAGCTGATGACAGATCCCTTTGTGTTACCAAACTCCAGCCTTTTCACTCACATCAATTCAATGTTGTCATCAAATGCATGCATGATGAATGCTATAATTAAGGACTATAAGGACAGAATGAACAGGAGCTATGCAGAAAGGTAAATATCTGTATGATGGCTCGTCCAACTTGGTGTAATCAGATTTGACAAAAACTGGATTCTCAGACAAGGAGGTAACTACGCTGTACGAAAAGACCTCCAGCCATATGACCCAGCTAAAGAAAGAATGAAGTTATAACATGTGTCTGGACCTGAGAACCCTGCATGGTTTAGAAATACGCTGGTCTATTAAATGGTTCAATACTGCCCCCTGCTGCAGAAAGCCTCATCATCATCCTTTTTTTAAATGCTTTTTATTTATTCTAGTCTTGAATATGAATATAGAACATGTTTAGTCTACAGGCTCTTTTAGGCCTGGGAGCAATATACAACCACAATACAAGCCAGAATGCATACATTTATAGCCAGTGCAAGTACATAATACACATATTAATGAATGAGAATCATACTGTATATGGATAGTGCAATTATTTTTGCTGTTTTAGCATCTAGCTTAATTAGCCACATTAATAGAATTTGGGTGAATGCCTCAGTAAGTAAAATATAAAATGAGTTCAAGTTTATCTACTATTGTATGATTGACTACAACAACACCCCTGTGGTGAGAAACACAACCATGAAGGAGCTCAACATCACCATAGCGACCCCAAAGAAAGCAGCACTAGGGATAGCGCCACTGTTAAAGGTTTTGTCGTGGACATATGTGATGATGGACAGCGCTCCTGCGTACGCCTCCTCGCAGGCCGGCTTGATCTGATCCTCTGGCAGCAAGTGGCTGAACTCACCTGGAGGGTCATTAAGAAACATGCAGAGTAGTACCAAGTAGAATACAGTGCATTATGTGTGGCTGATGATTATGTAAAACACACGTTGGTCAAGCCAAGCTCACCTTTGTCTCGCAGCTCAAAGGTGTAAGAGAAGGGGATGCCGACGAGACGAGCCCAGTCGCGGCTTGAGCCTGAGTTTGGATCTAAAGGTTAAAGTTAAAATTGTGATCAATCATGAGTTAATCCATCAGGAAGACTACTACACATTTTTCAGAATTGTCTACTCTTTTACACCACATCCTATAGTTTTACGCTTTCCTATCAAGTTAGAATACTCCCTTTTAGTTTGAATCATCCAGTCAATAAAGGTAGTTGTTTCCTTTCTTTTTCAACAAACTGAAATCCACACTTTCAATAATGTGTATTCATCTGTGCTGTTTCTCAATGTGGATGATTTCCTTGGTACACTGCCTTGTGGTGCACAGTGAACATTTGCTCAGTGTGTGAATTTAGACCGGAGTGTTGACTCAAATAGCTGCATTGATTGGCTGCGTTGCTATCACAGGAAGTGACAGTCGCCATTGTTAGCTAGCTAGTTAGCGTTATTGTTAGCAAATAACTACAGGATACTAAATTAATCTGATATAACTAACAGTGGCTTATTTTTGAAAATAGAATAGTGCTAGGTGTACTAAATATAGAAAACACGTACATGTATAACTTTTATTTGTATAATGCTGTGTTCACGGGAGCTGGATGCACCACTAACATTATGTAGTAAAAATGGCTAACTAATAGCTAAACAATGCTATCTATTCAATGCAAAAAATACATTATTCAAACCCACAGCATCTTAAGAAATTATGCATTATATCCCATTGATTCATATTGACAGCTAGGGTGATGTGAATTTATATCTCACATATTCCTCTTTCTTTTTATATTTTGGCAAAGGATAAGTCAGAAAAACTTGTCAGAGCAAGCGCAGATCATGTGTTAAAAACAGCTATTCATGACAGGAGAGAAAGGGGGATGGCATAAGAAGTCTTACAGAGGATTTGTGGAGATGTTCCTACAGTGTAGCCCATTCCATGTAGCTTCTTCATTTCTGCTGCTGCTGCCTTCCCCACTGACACCTTTACAACCCACAAAATATTATTTTTAGTAAACCAAGTACCCATAGTCTCTTTCCAATCAAATCTTAAAGGGTAAAATAGGTAAAAAGTGATCATAACAATCTAACACAAATCTAAAGGAATTTTTTGATCAGTGCAGTATGTCGCACGAAGACAAAGTAAAGCGTTTTGTTCCATAAACCATTAACTTTTCTGGTTTTGAACGTTGTGTATATTTCATTTAGGTTTACCGTTTAAATCTCTGTAATACAAAGCACACACTTACCAGTTCATCATAGTTGGGTGCAGAGATCTGAGGGTGGCCATATGGTAAGAGTATAAGTTGCCCCGCGGAGTGGATGGTGAGAAAACACAGAGTCTGTTTAACCATCTTACCTAGATACAGACAAAATGAACAAGTGATTAAAATCAAGATGGCATTAAGACATTGATTTCTTAATGGTCCAAGTAAATGTTGAAAAGAGTGTAGCACAGCCTCAGTAATGATAGTCAAGTAATGCTTATTTTAAAATTTGATTGTATTAATGTTGTCGAGATTTCATGATAAGCTCAGGGACAATGACATTTCAATGATAGATGATTACCAACAAAGTCCATCACAGCTGTAGCCTCTGGCTCTGACCCGGCTTCTTTCCCACAGTATGTGTTTGCACAACTGTCAAATGACACACCAACCGCTGAGGAAAGACACAACATCAAGTACATCAACATTAACTTGTGATAATATATGGCAGATTTTACAAAGCGCTGTCAGCTTTATGATTCAAACATACTTTATTATGTCAAAACAAAATTATAAAATGTGAGTTCCTAGGGAAACGCTTGTGAAAACCAACAATTAAATTGCATGAGCCATGTCACAACAATATTTCATTTAACTCTGTGGCCTTCTAATATCCCATACACATGTAGCTGTTCATGTCAGTAGCAATACATTTATCTGGGGGTGTTAATTTTTTGACACATTTTTGACTACAGTATAGATGTTTTGTTTCCACCACATCCTTTCTTTTTAGGTTTATGACATTTCGTATATGATTTAAATAAGTTTTGCAAGTAATATTTGTTTAATTTCTGGAAGCTTTGAGTCACTATCAGCTTGAGGCAAATGAGGCATACTGTTGTAATTCTTGAAAGCATGCGACTCACTTCCCCAGTTGGCGTTAAAATTTCTGTTGAGGTCAACACCAAGGCAGCTATTGCCCGAAGGAGGGGTGGAACGAGACTTCCTCCAAATTCGAGTCTACAAAGAAACAACACACAGACGCAGTTGAAGACAGTTTTAAGTATAAGGTTGTGATGAATGATGAAACAGGGGGTTACGTATTGTAACCCTAGTTATATAAGCACAGGCGGAGCCCTCTACTGGACTCTATGGGTACTACTCTCTATCATGCTGTGCGTGCTTTCACCTACTGAGTTTACGTAAACGTAGCCGGCCAATCGGGGCGAGCCTACCTGAATGCGCGTGCAGGCCCACAGTATATAAAGGCGGCTACACCCGCCGCCCACTATCCTATACACTCTTCAGCGAGCGGACTAGGAAAGACAGGGCCCCCAGGTAGAGGGCTCCGCCTGTGCTTATATAACTTGGGTTACAATACGTAACCCCCTGTTATATTTCATACAGCCCCGATGTATACACGCCCTACCATCCAACAACATCGACCCACCACACCGTCCCTGACCGGCTTTTGGCTAACATCCATTGCATCCCCACTTCCTCCCATCCGGTTGTAACCGTAGAGAAGTTGGGGCCGCAATTTGGATAAGGCACACTCACACACGCTTACCTCCTGTAGAGTGTGCATGGAAAAGATCTGTGCGGAGACTCCGTCTGGAGCCTACCGCGCACCATGTTCCCCAAGTCCCTCAGGAGCATGGGAAAACATAAGTGCACCACGTCCCCCACACTCACACACGCTCCGTGTAGAGTGGGCATGGACAATAGTGAGGAAGGCTCTCCCAGCCTGCCTCCAGCCCTGTATGGGGCTGATTGCGCACCATGTCTCCCGAGTCCCTCAGGAGCATGGGAAAACACAAGTGCTTTATGTCCAGGGGGGGGGGGGGGGTCAGACACCTGCTGACCCACAGCCACCCCCCCCCCCCTCTCACCAGTCATGCATTGCCTCGGCAAGCACAGACGACGAGAAGGAGCCAGACATGTCCAGGAGATAACATTTTATGAAGGAGCCTGGCGTAGACCAAGACGCAGACGTGCATATATCTTCTACACTCACGCTGCTGAATAAGGCTGTTTGACACAGCCACAGCCCGTGTAGAATGCGCACGGACCCCAGTGGGGAGGGCTCTCCCCGCCCGTCCATAGGCATGTATAATGCACCCGCATAGCCATCCTGTTGTTAGGCGCTTCTTGGAGAGAGCTTTTCTAGCCACACCATTCCCAAAGCACACAAACAGCTGTTCAGTGTGTCTAATGGCAGCCGTGCGCTCTACTTAACATGCTAGCGCACGCACTGGGCAGAGGAGGTGCAATTTAGCCTCCCTGGCCTCAATATGGGGTGGAAGATTAAAGCTACCTAACTGAGTAGCCCTTGACCTGAACGAACTCCTTAGGCTCTTAGGAGTAAAGGAGGGGTTCGGTCTGAGTGTCGCCCCGCTACGGTCACCCCGGATCAAAAGGCAGCTTGGGTGCACCGACAGAGCGGTCAGCTCGGACACTCTCTTGGCCGAAGTCAAGGCAAGTAGCAATGCTGTCTTCCATGACAGTGCTTTCAGAGGAGAGCTCCAGGGGCTCAAATGGTTCTGTGACCAGAGCCTCGAGCACCAACGGCAGGTCCCACTGCGGGGCGGAGGCATGCTCTACTGGCCGCTGCCTCCTGACCCCCTGCAAAAACCGCGACATAAGCGGCTGACTGAAAGCTGACCTGCCTCCAAATCCCTCATGGCAGGACGAAATGGCTGCTGCATACACTTTAATTGTGGAATGAGCCAGCCCCCTGTCCACCAGTATCTGTAAGTAGGTAAGAATAGAGCCCAGCGTGCATGACAGAGGCTCTAGACTCCTTCCTTCACACCATCGCCGGAATCCCGCCCACTTTGGCCTGTAACAGGCTGTGGTGGATTCTGCTCCTGCTGCTTGGATAGTCTGAATAACATTGTCAGACAGCCCCACCTGTCTCAGCCTGTCCCTCTCAGGAACCAAGCCTGGAGAGGTTGGCCCAGAGTGGGTAACGCCCCTATTGCCCCTGCTTCCTGAGACAGCGCTCCCCAGACCTGAGGAATAGCCCAGACCTGGCCCCCCATCATCTGTGTTACCCCGCGTACCACGGCGCCAGGCGGCGATCTGGGGCCACTAGGATGACTGACAGCTGCTCCCGCCTCACCCTATCCAGAAGGGGGGGGATAAGGTGCAGCGGTGGAAAGGCGTAAAGCAGCTTCCTTGGCCATGGCTCGTGTGCAAATGCGTCGACCCCCAAGGGCGGATTGTCCCACCGGGCCAGGGAGAACCACAGGGCACAGTGGCTGTTGCGCCGATTGGCGAACAGGTCCACCTCTGCTCTCCCGAACTGAGTCCAGAACTGCTTCACCACCTCCAGGTGAAGCCTCCACTCGTCTGGCAGGGGTCCGCCTCTTGACATGAGGTCGGCCCCCCCGTTCTCCCGTCCCGGGATGTGGAGGGCCCTTAGAGACAACACAATCTGTGAAACCCACAACCATAGGTTCTCTGCCGCGGTCAACAAGGCTATTGAGCGGACTCCGCCTTTGCTGTTGATGTACGCCACTGTGGTGCGGTTGTCGCTCCTCACTAGCACATGTTTGCCCTGTATTAAGGGTTTGAAGTGCTGTAGGACCAGCATCACTACTTGCAGCTCCAGGAGGTTGCTGTGCCGAGCCTCTGTCAGAGGCCAGCAACCACCTACAGCTCTCTCTAGGCACGTCCCCCCCCCCATCCTGTCACTGAAGCGTCTGTAAAGACTGTGATATAGGAGGTCACTTGTCCCAGTGGAGCTCCCCTCCGCAGATTCTCTGGGGACCCCCAGAATCGGAGGTTGCTCTCTACTGAGGGGGGGATGATCACCAGACGTCGTTTGTGTCTTGAGATCTAAACGAAGGCCGGTAAGCCACCTCTGTATGCGACGTGCATGCAGAAGTCCGAGTGGCACTACGGAGTGAGCAGCCGTCATGAGACCCAAAGTCTGCATGATGATCAAAGCCGTCACCGTCGCCCCCTGACACAGCCTGCAGACTGCCCACAGCAGGGATGCCTGTCTGCTTTCTGTCAGGGTGGCACGCAGTCTGCCTGCATCGAGCATCACCCCCAGATATTCTACCTGCTGGTGAGGTATGGGGGAGCTCTTCTTCCAATTGACCGCAACTCTTTTTCAACCCAACTTGGTTAGGTGTAGGATCAATTGGGCTGTGTGAAACATTGCCCATTCCCTGGACCTGGCCATGACTATGAGGTCGCTCAGATAAAAGAACACCCTCATGTCATGGTCCCGCAGCGGTTGCAGCGCCGTAGCGTGCGTGGGGATAGGGAGTAGCCGAACGTCAGTCTGTTGTACTCGTAGGCTAATCCCTGGAAGGCAAAATGCAAATACTTTCTATGTTTTGGAGCAATTTCGCCATGAAATTAAGCGTTCTTCAGGTCGATGGTTGTGAACCAATCGCCTGGCTGCACCAGTCCCAGTAACTGTTTCATAGTTAACATATGGAACTTCTTGCATGCAATGTGCTGGTGCAGGCATTTGAAGATCCAGAATGGGCCTGAATTCTCCTGTCTTCTTGGGAACCAGGAAGTACAGGGAATAGTGCCCCTTCTCTCTGACTTGAGAGTGCACATGCCGAGAGGAAACCTATCTCCTCCTGGGATGACAGATTTGCCTCTCTCATGCCTCTGAACGGAGGAGGGATGCTGCAAAACTGGAGTGAATAACCCAGTCTCAGTGTCCTGTCCGTCCGCCCTGTTAATACACCACTGATTTTCCATTCCCCATAACATTGTGTTAGGGGATGTGCAATCAGCTGCGGAGCCGCAGCTATGAGGCTGTGGTACTCTCTGGTGGCCCACTCCGCCGTCAAACCCTCCATAAAAGGAAGTTTGACCCATGGGGGGCTGACACAGAAAGGGCCGTTTTTCTATAATGCAGTTTCCACTCAGAGAACAAACCGGCCGATTTTTCACTAAGGTCCCTAAACACACCACGGCAGCACCGTGAGAGCGCGCGCTCCGCCATAATGCTGTTTTCTCTCAGAGAGAAAGAGCCATTAATCTTCTTCTGTTCATGAACGCACCGCGGCCCGCTCTCGGGAGGTCGTCATAATGCCGTCTCTTTGAAACGGACATTATGGGAAAATGTGGAATTGTGGAGAGATGACTCTTAATCTGGGATAAATGCCATAGTCTTTACTAAATGCATTTTTCACACACACACACATCACTCTAGAACTAGGGTTACAATATGTAACCCACCGTTCATGCAACAGGGCCTCTTTTCGACTTCCTGTTGAAAGGAAACCTATCTCCTCCCAGGATGATATATTTGACTCTATTGCCCCTGAATGGAGGAGGGACGCTGCAAAGCTTGAGTGAGTAACCCAGTCTCAGTGTCCTGCCCCTCTACTCTGTCAGTACACAGCTTTTGTGGGGCTTCCATTCCCCACAAAACTGTGTTCAGGGGACATGCCAGCAGCTGTGGAGCCAAAGCTAAGAAGCTGTAGTATTCTCTGGTGGCCTACTCCGCTGCCAAACCTTTCCATATGAAGGGAGTTTTGGCATAGGGGCTGACACAGAAAAGGGCCGACACAGAAAAGGGCCGGTTTTCTACTGAGGTCCTTGAACGCGGGGCCGCGGCTCTGTCCTAATGCCGTTTCTTTGAAACGGACATTATGGTGAAAAGTGGAAATGTGGAGAGAGATGACTCTTACTCTGGGATAAATGCAATCGTTTTCACTGAATGCGTTTCTCACACACACATCACTCTCTCTTGAACCCGCACAGTGTTTTGACAGCACTTCGGTTTATTCCACTCACGTGCACGCGCCCACCTGCTGGCTCCTATACTGGAGTTTACAGAGGGGGCGGGGAGTGTGGGACAGTGTTATTTCCTCTGGGGATGAGCAAGAAGCAGCCACGCTGCGACTACTCCACACCCACGTGACCAAGGAGATCGATCCAAAGAGCCCTTCCGTAAACACGGGGGCTCCCGGCCCGGGAGATCAACAACACGGTCCTTTTGGAAAGTGCCATGCGGCGTGATCCCTCACCGGGATATCACACGGCAGACAACGGCGGCAGCCACGATCAAGCTACAAATAATCGCTCTGATCTGGTGAGGTGGGGGCATCTCCAGCAATGAGCGAGATGCCCAACACACCCGTGTTTATTTGCAGACGCATTGTCACGCGATAGCGTGGCAGAGCTGTTTTCAGCTCCCTGCCAAGCCTGCTGCCCGATGGGAGCAGCTGCGCTCCGCCGCCATGGTCATCACCTAGGGCGGTGGACCTCCATGGACCGGACCCAGAAGTGCCCGACAACGGCAAACGGAGCAATCCGCCCCGCTGGAATGGCGACGTGAATGGCACCGCCTCGACCATATCCTGGTCCCCCAAATAGTGATGGCAGTTTGACACTGAAGCTTCGAACGGAGCTTCAACCCTGGACTTCCTATTCCATAGAAGCAGTGCTTCGAAGCTTGCTTCAAATCACGTGACATATGACGTCCGCAGCAGCAACTGCTTCAAATCACGTGACATGTGACGTCCGAAGCAGCAACTGCTTCATTTCCTGAATGAATCACTTGACTGGTTCACGGTCCATTCACGCGATTCAATGCACTGCCTTGTCTCGATTCTGACAGGTGACAGGTTGAAACAGTTTCAAACTTGAGTGCTTCAACACTTTATGACCGCTCTAAACAATGCGCAATGTGTGGGTTGTTGTCGTAGTTTGCGTTGTTGCTGTTGAGTTGTTGTTGTTATTGCATTTGATATCATTATAGAGCAAGCCAGGAAGTAAGATAGGTCGTTCTGGCTCGGGAAACACTTCGAAATGTGGAGAAGTTGTGAACAAAAGGACAATTATCAGTAATATGAAAACAGTTAAATATTTCAAGGAATAGATAGCCCAGTGGATAGAGCCGGCGGCCCGAATGCGGCGATGTCCTCCGCGCAGCGATGTCCTCCGCGCAGCGATGTCCTCCGCGCAGCGATGTCCTCCGCGCAGCTTGTTCAAATCCCGGAATGGACGTATTTTAATCATTGCTTTTCAACTTTAATAACTGATAAAAGGCCCTCTCCGCCCAAAAACATGTCCAGCACTCTCTAGTCTCTTCTCAATAACCCAATACACACAATTATCAATATTTAATTGCAAATAGAACATGATATTCAGTCTTTGTGTGTGTGTGTGCATCGAATATTTTTCAAGGCAAAGATACGTTAAACCCACTGCAGCCTTGCACTTCGCCAGGAGAGGTCGCTGTAACTGAAGCTTCGAGAAATGAACCTATTTCCGACACAATTGTCCAAGTGGTTCGACGCTTCATTCAAAGCTTCATTTTGCCATCACTACCCCCAAACACTCTAAGCAGAGGTGGTGGAGACCGGCGCCCGCGATCAAACCAGGGCAGGTGCATGGCCGAGCTTCCAGTAATGGTGAGTCCATTTTTCCTTCTAATCTTCGTTCGTTTAACTTTTCGGTTGTCAGCTCGTCTGAAGAGAAAAAGGATAGTGGGCGGCGGGTGTAGCCGCCTTTATATACGGTGGGCCTGCGCGCGCATTCAGGTAGGCTCGCCCCGATTGGCCGGCTACGTTTACGTAAATTCAGTAGGTGAAAGCACGCACAGCATGACAGAGAGTAGTACCCATATAGTCCAGTAGAGGGCGGAGCCTGTGTGAAATATAACAAATAACAATCCTTGACTGTATTCAAATGATGAACTCACGGTGGTATTGACCCAGGTGTACATGTATCCGTCCACATTGATCACAGGAGTAACGTAGACGTCCAGGTTCTGCAGCATCTGCTCCAGCTTCTTATTGGTTTTATACGAGGTCACAATCTGAACAAACGCTCACATGTCAGAATAAACCACCGTGAATATGTTCGTCTTTTAAATGATGTCTGAGTGTACACACCTCTTTGACAAACCACTGGCAGAAGGCGGGGGCGATCCACTCTCGAGCATGGATACCACAGTCCATCCATATTACCTTCTTCTCTTTGCCCTCTGGGTTTTGTAGTCCAAACTGGAGACGGACAACACGAGTCAATTTAAAAGTAAGATGTGTGCTATATTTAGTAAGACAATTAGTTTAATATTTTTGGTTCAATATACATATTTACCACCTTATCACTTAGAAGGTGTTCTCAATCATAAATAGTGAGATTGTGATGAATAGCAGCATTTTGCTTAAGATGCAAACATCGACTACCGTTGATATTCAGTTCAGACAAGTGGCGAGAGGCAAGTGAGGAAAAACATTTGGTGATCAAGCCTGATTTAACATGTTTTCTCTCCTGTGTTTATAGTTAAGACATAGGTAAAAAAGAGAGGTTTTTCCAAAATAATCTTTTTTAAGTTTCTTTCCCACAAGAGGATGAGCTGCAACACTACCCTATGTTTGAAATAGGAGTAAATGCATTAAGTTGTGAATGTCAGCCTCTTGTGTTCAATATAGGTATTACTACAACAGATCCCAGGTGAAAGTAAAAGTTTTGGTAGTCTTTCTTTTCCGTCTCATAAGTGAAAACTACTTAATCAAACTTAGAAAATGGCTCAGCAGAACTTTTTTCTTACACTTGCCTCTCAGGGCTTTCGTAAATTCAACATAGCATTATGTGAAAAATGAAGCAGATAATGTACAGTATGTTACAGTGAATGTGTTGTACCTTCAGCAGTGCGATATTTTTTCCTTCAAAAGTGTGACCGTAGACAGCAGAGGAGACCAGCTCTGGGTTCTCTCGCTCCACATCTTCCATCCACTTGTATATCTGTGTTAAAATTTCATCCGTGTTATAATTCATTCTTGTAATGTACATATATTACACAAGCTCCCTTTGTTCAAATCCATCCGTAATCTACAATCTTTATAGTGTCTAATGGAAGAAACACAACTGTGAGACAACAAAAGGAGGGAAGATGTATTACTAATAAAATATCATCTGGTTATAAAGGGCTATGGATAGATAGACTTTGACCTCATCCATGGGGTGATATTTGGTGTAGTCATACATCCGTGTTGATTCCAAGCCCTCAAATAAACTGTGGATTAAAAACATGAATAGGGTTATATATCATCTTTATCTGCCTTGTGGCACAAAAAAACATAGTAAACAGGTGAACGGTGTTACAAAACAAAACACTTCATCTAGCAGTTCATCACATTATTTCCCTGACAAAACTATTTTTTTAAAGCTGTTCTCAAGTCATAAAATCAGGAGAAATAACAATTTAGATCAGACTTAGAAAACAGTCAACAAAATATTTTATTCCCCTCACTTGTCTCTCTGGGGCTTCCGTAGAAGTAGAACTTTTTGCGCCACATGTTTTAGGAATTCGTTGTGTCGCACTTTTGTACCATAAATATTTCACGAACTACACTGCTATACCGAAAAACCTTTTCTCACACTAACATGCTAAGTTTGAACACTTACAAAAACAGATTCCCTAAAACCAACACATAACAACACAACTCACCTGTTGGAAGTCTGTACAATGGTTAACACCAGCACGAAGAAACCAAGTGTGCTTTTCTCCATTTTCTTATTTTTTCTTACTCTTACTGCTCATGAAGCTGTCATACTATCTGCTCCTGCAGCACTAACTAATGCTGCAGTTCCAGTAGCAGAGTTTCTTTACAGCCAGATGACCTTAGACCAGGTATATTGGTGAGAAAACATTTCAATTTTATTACAGCAGTAGTAAATACATGTCACCTATGAGAGAAAAAAAATCATAAATAAGTTATCTATTAACCTTTATGAAGCGCCACTAAAATTATATAACAGCTGATAGACATACTGCTCTCTTTTTGTTTGTTAATCCTAAATAAATACTCATTGTGCTTTTCTAGAAACACAAAACATGACCATATTAAAAAGCAGTCAGTACATTATACAGTACAGGTCGTGCAGTGAGCCTGTGTTTTGTAGCGATAGAGCTAGAAAGCTATGCCTCTCCTGCTGCATTCTGCACCATCAGGAGTTGCTGAATAAATGCGCCATTCATCCCTGAACTGGTGTGTGTGTGTGTGTGTGTAGCTGTTGTTTTGGTTGTCCCTTGTTTGGATTCACGTGGATAATGTAATTGACAGCAGGCTCTCATTCAGGTCAGGATAGGCACAGTGAAAGGGGGACGGACACAGGAGAGTTAAGATAGCGCCTGGATTTGTAGTCGTCGACATTTGTAAATGTTTCAGGTTGGACATTGTTTAATTTGGTGAGAATTCAAGCGAAGGAGGTGTTTGTTGTGGGATTTTATCTATTGGAAAGGGCCAATGGGTGCCAAGTATACCATCTGTTGCTGTCAGTACTATCTGAAACACAACAGGGAGGAGAAGAATGCTATTTTGCGGTAAGACAAACACCTGATACACTTGATGACAACCCAAAAGCCTCTAACCCTAAACCCTCTTTAAACCAGCTCTTTCCTCTAATTCTCCTTCTTTCTCACCAGTATGCGCACCACTACAGCTCCAAAACAACCAGTGCTGTTATCCAGTGACACCAGTGACAGTGACACAGAAGAAGAGAGCCTTTTCGGGCCACGGCCTTCGAGAAGGAAGCCTGGGAAAAAGCAGCCGAGCCAGAGGAGCAGTGTGAACCCGTTGGCCGACACAAACAAACCCTGTGAGCCTCAAATCAGGAGAGGATCAGACCGAGAGCTGCAGGCCTTTATTAGCATGAGAGACCAGGCAGACACAGCTACAGAGGTGAGAGACAGCGTGTCGTTGCATATTAAATGTGCAATGTCAAAGGGAAATAACACACATAAACACATAGAAAAAAACAGCATAATAACTGTCTCAATCTGTATCTAAATAAAGAGAAGAATCAGATATTTATGGTTTTTTTTAAAACAGTGACAAATCCCAGAAAATATTAATTCTTCGCCTTGGTATGCAACAAATAACCATGGAGCAGGAGACGCAATGTATTCACCACCACATGATTAATTGCTAAAAGATCTTGAGATAAAGTCTGGGGTTTATTATAAAAAATGTAAATATAATGATTAGGTAAAAGCTTAAAATATGAAAAAACACTTCAAAGATCTATCTATCAAAGATATAACATATATGTACGTATTACTGTAAAAATTACTGTTTTTGGGTGATATGGTTTTTAAATAAATGCTAAAAAAGTTTTTATATTATATCTTTATTGAGCTTTTAAAATAACAGTTTATATATATATTTATAAAACGGACAAGTCAAATCAAGCAATCTGGTTCTTGTGACGAAGGTAACTTCGTCACTATGGACTGACGGCTTCGAGCTGGGTAATCATGCACATGTGGGTTTGCACAGGACAAATGTAGCACTTTAGTGAACAGTTTGCACTATATTAGCGGGATTTGCACAGTACAGTACAGTTACAGTGGGGGGGCAGCTGCCCCCCCACTGTAGAGCCTTGCCCCCCCAGCTGCCCCCCTAACTTTTGTTTCCCTAAAACTGTACTAAAACAAACCTACACTATTTCCACAAGCTTCTCAAGCAACAAAACAAGCATTACATTAGTTAAAAGTGAATCATTTTAAATATCATTTTAGGCCCGATAAAAACGCAGCTACGGCGCTGCATTAAACTGCGGAGCGGCGTTCACACAGACCACGGCTCACACCGCTGCAGAGAGGGAGCGAGCTGTCCCAGCACCTATGGATCAGCTTCCCCTGGGAGCATTTCCCTTTCCACTAGTTTTGTTTTTACTAAGGACGAGAGCTTGAATCTAAATATTAATAAAACGCTGCCGTTTGAATCGATAGCGTTTAACAGACGGGCGCTGTTTGGGGCGTTACGTCACAAAATACTACGCAGACAGCGTTAGCTGGGAGATCGATCACATTGCTAAACTACGCGGTAGCCTACTATTAAATCCACGTAGACTCTTGCAGGCCAGAGTATAGGAGTGATTCAACAACAACAAAATACATATGAGAAGTGATCAGGACGAACAGAAAAAGAAAAAGATAGATGAAGAGACCAGGAGGGTCAGAGCAGGAGGAAGAGGAGGAGATGAAGAGACCAGGAGGGTCAGATTAGGAGGAAGAGGAGGAGATGAAGACATTAGTGAAGAAGAAGAAATATATGTGAGGAATAAAGATGAAGTATCAGAAAGAGGGCCAGAGGCAGGGATCAGGAGGCAGATGAAACTCCAGCTGGACCACATGGTATGTTCTTATTCTCCTTACATATTCCATCACAGCAGCACAATCTAGCAGCTCTTAGTATTGACAAATATTGATTGAAATGTGTTGCTGCACAGGTCACCTTCAGCTCTCTGAAGAGATGGGTCATGTCATTTGTGTACTTAATTATAACTAAGTACTTACAGTATGCAGAATTAGAGTATTCTCTGAATCGGGTGCCTTTTGGGTCTTTATATCTTTGAAAAATGAAACCAAAATGTTTGGTCATAACATCTGGTAGTGGACTACTTACATTTTCCCACCTCAGGCACAAATTATAAATAATTACTAGGAATTTCCTTGAAAAAAATGTAACATGGTTGAAGTTTTTGACAAAAAGTAGCCATGAGACCATGTTTAGCTAAGATATGGCACCACATGGAAGTCAAGGACATTACAAAATTGTAATATTTTGCAAAACTATTGTTTATTTTTGTAATAAACAATTATTTACTATTATTAATTCATACAACATAGTTGAAATGTTGAGTTTGTCAATCTTAATCTGAAAATACAAAAACTGAAATATAGGTAAGAGAAGAAACTGACACTTTTGTGATGTAATTCCCTCAATGCAGATCACACATGGACTGATCCATTATTTGAGGTAAGCTTGGGGGACTCAAAGGGCACCCGATTGTTTGTCTAAACACCTTGTTTCTCTTGTGCATTAAGAACACTTGTGTTAGGGCATGAATTAACAATAAATAGGTTATATACAGTATAAAATACCACGTACTGTCCGCCCTCCTATGCCACCCTGGCATGACCTCTTGCCTCCCGTTTGCCCCCCCATGTAAAATGTTTTAGAACCGCCACTGATGGAGCATATGTGTGGGCTGGACCTGTATTTTACAGGAAAGGAGTGAGCAGAGGTTCGAGTTGTCGATTCTTGTTCTGTGACTATCTGCCTCACCCTCTTTAGACTTTCAGTTGCGCGCTACTAAAGAGACACGCTACCATGGAAACCAAACAATGGTTGTCAAGTCCTTCAGGGTTTTGGCCTGTATCAGTGATTTAGCCTGACTTGAGAGGCTGGAGGGCAACAGAGGACGCTTGGACAACTCGAATTGTGTTCTTTTTGTCTTTATTTATTTAAGACAGCTCCAAGAATTCATCAGGTTGAAAACCTTCAAAACACAACGTACAAACAAATGTTAGCTCATATGCAAACACAAATTACAAACATTTTGCAGGCCTCACTGCATTCTCAATAATAATAATACAAACCATGTTTTAATTAAAAGGATAACTTGTTATTTTTAAAACCACATCATTAATTTAAATGAATTAATAAGAGTGTTTGTCACTCTCTCCTTGGAGACAAGCACCAGAGAAAACCTCATCTGAACACCTGCGCTGTCTAAATTACACAGCAAACAAACGGAGCACAGGCAGACCACGCTGAGTAAAATGCAGTCGATTGCGCAACAGCACTCTTGCAAAGTGAGGCAACAGATCAAGTAGCCTACATAAACCACAATAAACACCGGAGAATCATACCAACGGCATCTCCGGAGCCTCACACACACTGTCGCCTGGTTCTCCCTCCGTGGCTTTGAGAACAAGAGACCGGCCATCACAAACTACGCCCCTTATGTTGCCGTGTTACCGGAAGTGGCATTCATATTTTTCCAATACAGCTCACTTATGAAAGGTAGCCTTGGTCCAAAATAAAACGAATACCCTCTCTTGGTATTGAACAATACAATAATAATAATAATAATACTCTAAACGAAAACACATAATTATTTCTCAGTCCGTTTTTCACCGATATTATTACATATTGACTTTCGTCTCGACAATGGTGTAGCTGTAAAGTCAGAGTGGAAACAGTCGTGAGTAAATCTGATTTTGTCAGAAATCGGGAGAAATGCGGGAGAAATATGACCCCGGGAGGAAACCGGGAGAGGGCTATGAAATCGGGAGTCTCCCGCGAAAATCGCGAGGGTTTGCAAGTATCCAGGGTTGCGTTCCGATAATCCAAAAATCAGCTGCTAAATTCTAACCCTATCTCCTATTCCTTGACCTCTGAGTAAAACGTCACGGGGTTAAGGGATAGTGGATAGGAGAATTCAAAAGGATTTAGGAGAAGAGACCGCGGTACTTTAGAGAATCCGAATGCACTTTCACTATCCGACGTGTTTATGATGTGCCAGCGGACGTCATTTTGTGCGTCTGCTGCTGTGGGGAAACTATGGAAACTACAGTTTGCTATACAGCGGACTACAACATGGATGTTTAATAAGAACGAGGGACTACTGTAAACTCATCTAGAGACTCTGCACCGTGCTCTGATGCTGTTGCTTTATGCTTTATGAACGTGGACAACAGAGAAACATATTCTTCATGACCAAAGTTGGAATTGAAATAAAAAAGGAAAGTGAAACTTATGCTCGTCACCCTCTCCCTCCGGTCCACATTAATACAAATGATCCAAATACGTATGATTGTATGAAAATATCTTAAAATCATAAATGTATTTATTATAAACGTTAGTCCTTAACATCTATCACTGTGTATATCACCATTCAAACATCTTTTAAAAGTTGAACAAACCACACAGCTCAGTAAAGACTGTGAGATGTTGACTTTATTTGATCATTTCAGTAAAAACTAACGTTCATATTTCTCTTTTTGATTATAATACTGATGAACGTTCAGAAAAAAGCACTTTGGCAACTTACCACATACGTTTTAAAATGCTTAATAAGCACCGTAACTTTCATGATATAATTTCTCGGTCATAATCGGTTGTTTCCGTGAACGGCCGACTGTTGTGATGGCAAATGCTGCTGCTGCAATGCATTGTGGGGCAGCATTTTCTCCTCTCCTTTCGGTTAGGGAGGTCCAGTGGTTCCTAAGCTAAAGGAGGTTATAAAGGAAGTTTGAAACCTCCTTTCCTTTCATTTGGAGAATTGGAACGGCACTTATCATGGCTGCCAGGGACGTACTTCCGGGTCATTTCACTCCGTTAGGAAGGTTCCTAAGCTAAATGGACTATTGGAATGCAACCCTGCTCTCCCGTCTCCGGTCCCAAGGTCCGTCATCGTAAAGGGTCCCCGGGGAAACAGCGGATCATTTTTATCGTTCCGGATGGGGTTAAAGGAGCAGGTTGGAGGCAGGGGTGATTTGTTATCATGTACATTTGGCTTGTTAGTTTATAACGGTTTTTCTTTTCATACAGTAATTAAATATAATGTAAGTAAAGGAGGTTTGTCATTCTCCACTAAATGTTTATTGTGAATAACTACGGTCCTTATCTGAGCTGACCACATCTCTGCACATGCCACCCCTTTTGGATGGTACGGTCCAATTGGTGGGTCTATAAAGGGTGGCATGTTGGGCTCATTGGGAGAGGGAATAGTGTGGGAGACAGTCATTGGGGGATATTGATGTGGTCAACCATAAATCCCCACACCGGGTTGTATCAAGACGTTCTGCCTCTGTCTCCTTACTTGGTCGGGCCGCTCACTTGTCAGCCTCACAGTTCTTAGCCGTGATATAGTGAGCGTATACCACGGGTAGAATTGTAGTTACTTTTCACAACAAGTCAGTATCTCTCTGCGTCTGAGAAAAACTGTATACAGTTGGGCTGAAAAGCAAACTGCCTGGGGGCCGAACCACGCCCCTTAGCTGTGATATACTGAGCATATACCACGGCCTGTTGTGAGCTATTGCTTTAAAAAATATATATATATATATGTATATATGTTCGCATACTGTACACAAACTCGAATACATACGAGTACATAACAGTGGAATGCTGTAAATATTAGCAGAAATTGTAAAATGTTTGTATCAGTTCAATTGTTTGTGTCTAATATCATATTGGCAACACAAATTACATAGAACTGTAAAGACCTTGTAGCTATATCTAAAATATGTATATAATATATAAGGCCTTTAAAACTGTAGTCCTTAAAATAAGTTTTAAAATAATCAGACAAATACTACCAAACACTTCTGTGATCATTTTTTGACTGGGATTTAGTAGATCCGTACATCTATTTTTCCATCCACTGATCATTGGATTATAAGCGTTTATCTGGATAAAGATGTACTGTTCTTTCTTGGCTAAATGCTTCTAAAAACTCCACACATGTACTATTACCAGGAGGTACTAACAGTAATGTGTTAATTCGGTCAACATCTTCTTATCTGTTTTACTGTTCCAGCTCTCTAATGTAATTAAACAATAAGGGGAGAGGAGACAAGGCTTTCAAAGAAACCTTTTAGACTCACTTCTATGAACTCAAGCTAGATTCCTAAATAACTTAATGTTCAGAATATCAAGGAAGAAATTAACTTGATGTTCCCAGTACCAGGAGGGGAAAGAAAGTGTACTGCACACTGTCACACAGTTCCCAAAATAGAGACATGATACTTTATTCACTCATTCAATCAGTGACCCAAGACTTCTTACATAGGCACTAAATGTAGGTTGTTTACAGGGATGGGAATGTTACTTAAAGGGGCCCTATTATGCTCATATTCAGGTTCATATTTGTATTCTGTGCCTCTACTCTGACATGTTATCATGGTTTAATGCTCAAAAAGGTCTTCATTTGTTCATACTGCCTGTGCTGCAGCACCTCTTTTCACCCTCTGTCTGAAACCAGAGCACAGTCTGTTGTGATTGGTTAACTGGCTAAATCTTTTGGTCATTGTTCAACCGCTAAGAGATGTCCCGCCCCTTAGCCTATCGCATACAATGTGTTGGATGGCTAGCCAGTACAATCCTGTTACATGTATTCGGATACTCCCCAAGCCTGGTTGTTTATTACAGAGTGAATGGGTTAAACACACTGTGACTTTGTATGTGTGTGTGTGTGTGTGCAATAAGTTCTCCACAGGATAAGGGTTAGGACAGGGTTATGGTTAAGTCAGGGTTAAGGTTAGGTCTACAGTAAACCTTCGTGACTGCAGTCTCTGAGCAGGCAGTTTGAATTTGATGAACATGTGACCGTCAGACTTCATGTAGAGAATGGGCCGGCTGCGGGACACATTGGGCACATTGTGTTTAATAAATGAAATTCCTTAATGGAGATGTGGGCCAACAGCTTGGCAGTCAATTCAAAGAGAATATTCACTGAACCATTACAATTATGTCTGCAGATTGTTTTTCAAATGAGGACAAACAAACTGAGAATCGGGCCAGTTGTATTAAAGGGAATTCAGCAATAGGGGAAAATAAAGCCCTGTCAATAAAGTGGAACATGCTGCTCTGTAAACTCGTTGCTTTGTGTGATATAAAATCATTATGCAAGTTATTCCTACTTACATTTACATGTATACATATACAATAATTTCTCATCTTCAATCACCTCTCTTCATTCTCATAGTTTTCCAAAAAAGTGTTTCTGTACATCCTTTTAACTCTTTAACTAGAGGTAGAGCACATTTTGTGTCTTGATGTCTTGTTGAAAAAAATAAAGTTGAACTCCATCTGATTCAGCCAGCTCTACCCTTTGGTTGACATGTTATGCACAAAACAACCTCTAGATGTCACTGTGGTTCAAACAGAAAGCCCTTCAGCTCGCTTCAAAAGAGAAAGTTGGCAATGCTAAAAATCACTGCTGAAGAAATCACTCTTTTTGGTCAACTTTTGTAAGGTAACCATATCCTTTTTGACATATTTTAGTGTCAGGGCACTGACTGAACATAATTAGATAACTTGATGCACAAAAAAAGTTTTAACAAGGGTGTAATTATTTTTTTGAAAATATGCTCAACCAATCGGTCGAATTGGCCTTTTATGGTAAGCTAGCAATATGACTTTTTCAGAGTTTCAGAGAAGTTTTCCAATAAAATATGGTAAATAAATGGCTAGATTCATGGTAATATTACTAAATCTAGTACTGCCTTATGAGTCTCAGAGTGAAAGAGTGATAATCATTTATATAGCACCTTTCATGCATGGCATTCAGCCCAAAGTTGCACACAGATGAGGCCAACACAGGATATAGACATTTGCTGTTAGGCCAGTGGTTTATTCTTAGGCCAATTCAGCATATACAGTAAGATGAGCAAGTATTTTTTTTATCATGAAAAACACTTTACATTACTTTTTTCCATTTTTATTTTATTTTTTTATTTTACAATTATAATTTATTATCTTTTATGAATATATCTGGTTGTATATATTGCTCATTTTCCATAAAATAAACAAATGTATTTGAGTTTGTGTTTTATTTGAGTTTGATGCATACAAATACTGTACTGTATATGATGATTGTTGAAAATGTACTTTTACCAAGGCCAGCTCGACCAGTTGGTAGAGGGTAGAGGCTCAAAAAAACAAAACTGTGTGGTCAGTCAAAAAATGGTTTGTGCTTATTTGTGGCCCATTTGATAAGAAAATGCAAAAAAATAATTTTTCCATAGCTTTTTTCTTGGTCCGGTAATTACTGAATTATGCTTGTGCTTTGTTTGAACTCCTGCTCCAAACCATTCCATAAAATCACCCCACAGATTGTTAAACTCATACTTCTCAGAGTTGTTCTGACCTTGAGTTGTTTAAAATGTAGATTTCCTCTCAAATTATACCCACCCTCTCTGTCTATGAACAGTGTTTTTAATTTCCTAGGAAGTAGATTATGTCTGGCTCTGTACATGATTTGTGCCGTTTTAAATTTAACCAGATCAATGAACTTCAATATGTGTGACTTCAAAAATAATACATTAGTGTGTTCAAGATATCCAACATTATTGATAACTCTTATAGCCCTTTTTTGTAATATGTAGGTTGGTTTTGTACATGTTTCCCCAAATCTCCACACAGTAAATCAGATATGGCAATATTAGTGTGTATTTAGTTTGTTTGTTTCAAGTGTGCAGTTTCTAATGCCATACAGGGTCATTTTCACAGTAGATTTCTTGACATGCCATAGTCAGAAAAGCACAGGTGCTTCTCACATTAATAAATGCTCTGCTCTATTCAAGTATCCAAAATTGAGTGACAGTTAGATAGCATGCACATTACCAGGACCTTAAAAATAAAACTGCTAAATGGAATTCAGCCCGTCGTTTATTATTAACACCTGTCATTTTCCGACTGTGACATGTAAAAATGTTTCCTGTGAAAAAAGGCCTTGAGTCTTAAATTGACAAAGTGGTATTAATTTGATACTTAAAAGGGCCTTATTATGCTCATTTACAGGTTCATATTTGTATTTTGTGCCTCTACTTGACATGTTTCCATGCTTTAATGTTCAAAAAGCTCTTTATATTTCTCATACTGCCTGTGCTGCAGCACCTCTTTTCACCCTCGGTTTGAAACCAGAGCCCAGTCTGCTCCGATTGGTTAACTGGCCGGCTCTGTCTTGATTGGTCAACGCTTAGAGATGTCCCGCCCCCTACCCTATCACGTTCAATGTGTTAGATCGCTAGCCAATAGAAGTGCAAGTGTTATATATTGATGTCACACTGTGCAATGGAAGTAAACGAAGGAGTCCAATGGAGGCTTTTAAGCAAGGGGAATGTGTGGGAGAGAAACTTCCTCCGGAAGGAACTTTGGGATTTTAGCCTTTGCATAACATTTACATGCACACAAACCTATATAACAGACTAGAGGAAAGGGTAAACCCCTAACAGAAAAATAGGGCCCCTGTAAAGGTCAAACGAACCTAACAGCAGGGCCAGATTTATGCGGTCTAATCCAGGAGATCTCCTAAGGCAACATAAGTGAAAACACCTGTGTAAGTGTACTGTATGACTTAAGCAGCAGGTAACCATCAGTTATACACACAATGATTCAACATCATTGCTCTATCCACCCAATTTCCAGATAAGATAACAAATAATGTATCATATGCTTTTGTGTGTGTTTAGGAATGGGAGAAGCTGAATTATGACATACACAGTTTACGCTATACCAGACGAGAAGTAAGATCACGGTGGAAGAAAATCCTGCTATTGCTAGGTGAGAAACTATTTTATTTGGTTCATTTGTGAACTCTACTCACCTTATTTTGTTGTCCTCGGTTGTATCTCCTCTTCATCTTCCCTCAGGTTATCAGTGCGAGGTGGACGCCTTGCTGTGTGTGAACAAACAGAACCGCTTCAGTCGAGATCAGGAGCATCTCAACAAAACCACAGAAATGCTGAAACAGCTGCTGGACCACACCTCCCTGTTTCCTCCTGAAACTGAACACCAGAACACATACCTCTGTATCATGGTAAACACACAAACATACACACTCATTCTCTCTTCCTCACCTATTTTTTTATGATTACGCTCCTCCATCTTTTCCTTCAGGACCGCCTGGTGTCGCTGGACAGCGCAGAGGACTTTGTCAGACTGGCCAAAGAGAAATATCCCAAGAAATTATAAGAGAAAGTGTGAGAAAAAAGAAGACACAAAGGCTGGAAGAGAGGGTAAAGAAAAATATTAGAATGTTTAATTCAGTACAATTAAAGAAATTTGACCAGAATCTAACATTCATTTCATTTTAGAGCAAACTGTAATTGTAAAGGGCAAATTAAAATACTTTCTGTTCGACATGTCCTGTTGACTTAATGAATGTAATTCCTCTGTGTTTGTACATTTAAAAAACAAATTGTTCCACTGGTAAATGCTGCTTGGACTATAAAAACAATATTCTTTCAGATTATGAAGTCATACATTCGTGTGAAAATTCTCAGAGATTGATATTACGATTTTCAAGAATCACATCACTTCACTTTGCAAGGTTTGATCCACCTCATAGTGTAACACAGGCTGCTTCCTACCGTTTGTTATGCCTGCAGTGGATGAACTGATCAAATTATATACTTCCCAATCACATTTTAAGCCGGAATTGCCATATCTCAGAAGAATACAGACTTAGAAGAGACATTATTCAGAAGAAAACAACTGATCAGGTCAGGATGATTTGATTACTTTTGTATACCAGGAACTACATAACAATGGACATCGCCATGTTCCCTATTGCACCTCCTCACTGTGGCACTTCCTGTTTACTGGTGGTGTGGTTTGATGAGGTTGATCCAGCCTTGCAAAGTAATTTCTCGTGAACAGATTTTCTTTAAAAAAACTTTTTTTAAACCTATGACCCTCATACCCCATCCTCCAAAGTGGTATTAAATACCAGACAATTTATATTTCGTTAAACATCTTTAACACATGCTAATAACTGGCAATACTGATGATATCACTGTATTTTCTGGGTTGTTTTTTGCTCACCATGTCACTAATAAAGTATATTTGTCCAGTTAAAACAATTAGTAGTCTTATTCAATCTCACTGTTTTTGGTTGAGTAACACTGTGTTAGCCGCTTTCTCCAACAGGTGGCAGCATATCCTCTCTTCATGCTTCAGTGGGTCAAAATGGATGAGAGAAAAAAATAATTGACTTAGCTGGAAACTTCTGTATCACAGATGGGGTGTAGCTTGATCAAATGATTTAACTTGTGAAGTTCTTTATTTTCTTCTTTCAGTGAGGAATATGGTCCAGTTACTCCTAAAAAAGACAAAAAACTATGCAGCCTACTAACTGGAATACTAAACGTCTTCATTTCCTGAAATGTTTGCAGGATGCAGATAATAATGTCTGGTTCTATCTTTTGCAAAATAGTTTGATACTCTTCAGTCTTTGTATCTTCAGTTTCTTTTGTCTTCTTCATGTAGTTTATGATTGTGGTATGCTGTACACACATTAAGGCTTGCACACACACACATGGACAGAGAAAGAGAGAGTTCACGTCTGACCCAGATATTGTTCTCTCCAAGGCTCCTTCGCCAAGTTAGGGAAACAGATGTGGAATTGAAAGAGGGGTGCGTTGGGGGAGGGGAGCACTTTGGGAAGAGGACCAATGATCTTGGACCACTGAACGGCATTGTGCAGCCTGCACCTTTTTCTCATTATACCGTTGTGTGTCTGTATGTGTGTGATTTCAAAAATTGAGTAATGCTGACATCATTCTTCTGACTTTCAGAATTTTCTAAATTCTGTTGGATTTCCAAAAGAAAGTAGGCGAGACAGATCAGGGTTCTAACTTTAGTTTTACAGAAATATGAAGGAAGAAAGAAGGGAATTATTAAGAGGGTGATTATGTATGAAGTTGGAATACAAAAGTTAATGAAAAGCAAACTTGATTGTCAAATTCTGTCATGTGTATTTGTGTTCAAGGGTCAAAATGTTATCATGGAAATCACTGCTCATCCCCCTGTGTGTGTGGATGTGTGTGGATGTGTCTGTGCGACATACTTCCAAAGGCTAGTCAGTGGTCCGGGCGTACAGTGCTTTATGGTTGCACACACTCATGGAGACTATGCTCATTCAGACTGTGGCTCCTTCTGCTTATGGTCATTTATTATATCATTCACGCACGCGCACCCACAACCGCACAAACACACACATGCATACAGGAGTGAGCCATGGTTTTCTCTTCATAGCTTTGGGAATTCACATAACTTTATGTATGAATAAACCATAAGTCAATATTGTATTTATTCTCTCTTCCCATTTAGATTTAGTTAAACATTTTGGAAATAAAGTAATTCTGCTTTCTTGCTGAGATAGGAAGCTCGAAGCCAATGTCATAACTGTTTGTTAATGTGACACTAAAGCCAGGAGACAGTTAGCTAAGCTTAGCATAACAACTGGAAACGGGGAAAGAGCAACCCTGAATCTATTGCTAAAACCCTCTTAAACTAAACCTTTAAACCATTGTTGAAATCTCACATCTCAGGCAGTTTATAATGTAGACCAAGTCCAGGGCTTCATGTTTATGTCCGAACACCAAACACTTTACCGCACTGACTAATGGTTTACTTGGTTAAATATCAAAGTCTGAGGCCGCCGATTGGATTAACACATTTCCGATAAACATAGGTCATGATGGTGACTAAATACTTCGACCCACTCATCCCCGTAGAGACTGAACATGGTAATAATCATTATACTCATTACTTCCAATGACGTTTCTTGAGTTTGCACAAACAACTCCTCATTATGCACCCATTAAGACATGTGTTTTACTGTTGAGACATACAAATTATACAGTTTACAACTCTATAACTCAGCATTTGAGCATAACACGTCTTTGGGCCTGCTAGCAGTGTGGCTCAATGAATTGCCATGTTGGTTGGTTGGTGCATCATGCTGGTCCAGACTAAAATAGCTTGAGAATGAAGATGTTGCTTTGTTTAGAACCAGGGTTTATGACCAAATACTTGCAGAACAAATGGCAATATCATTAGCATTAGCTGTGCTTTGTATGTAGTCCTTATAAAGAGATGCTAGGACATAAGAGAGTATGCTATCATTAGCATTTTGCTCAAAGTGTTTCTGTGCCTGCTGAAATAAGCTGCTAGCATGGCTGTAGACTCTAATACTGTAGTATTGTGTCAGGAATGGCTTAAGTCAAAACACTGATAATATTTTGAGTTGTTTTGGTTTTATCAAATGCAAAATTAAAACTAGAACAGCACTTGGAGAATGCAGAGCTCCAGAAAGGCATGCCCTAACTCGCTAACAAAAGTCAATAATAAACCGTGTCTTCCTTGATCTGGACCCGTATTGAAATGTTTTAGATTACTCCTTGGCCCAAGCTACACCCTTCCACAATCCTGTTGACAGGCAAATAAACCACTCTGAAGACGTATCCTCTATGTCAATAGCATTAACAAATCATGTACATGTTTACCCATGAAATCAATATAGTTAAGGTATACTGATGAAGGATGTCATACTTAGTTTTACTTATAGTCAGACAAAATGCTTTTGCGGAAGCCTTTTTTTAAACCTTTTTTCTGAAAACCACCACTGTTTATCCAATAGTTATTTATGATTAGACAGTGTTGACAGCAGTGTTATACCCATACACACAAACATTAACACACATGTAAATACATGCACACCATAGCGCTCACACACTCAGTATAATTTGCAACGGATGTTTAGAATACAAGGAAAACAAACCAGGCATGGTGTGCTGACCTCTGTGACTCCCAACGGAGGGTCAGAGGTCAAGAGTCTGCTCAGGAAAGGTATGATTACTATGTTGCTTTCAAGTCAAACCCTACTAACCGCAGTTGTAATATTGTTTGCTGTAAGAACAGATTTAAAGATACAGTTTAAAACATTGTAATGGCATAACTATAAAGTAAACATAATGGAAAGCTAATTTTACAAATGTCTTTACAATGACAGTAATTATAATTTAAATGAATGAACTTTTCTTAAGGCTGCTTTTATCTTTTTAGGGGTAAAATTCTACATTGTTTTAGCAGTTTCACTCATAACACAGTCATGGAAAGCATGCGGTTCACAACATCACTTTCATTCTTAGCTTCATAGCTCAAGCAGATTTAATAAAGAACCCACACATCTGCTCACCCACACACACACACACACACACACCACAGATGGGTTGAGCAAGCCTTTGGGCAGGGCAGGGTGTGTTCTACAGCATGGCTGTGGTCATCGTTGGTGGATCAGTAATTACACAAATACACTGATGCTCTTGAAATATCTTGATTTATTTCCCTTAAATCAAACATGATTAAAGGAGTCTCCTCAATGTAACAGTGCATGAACACATATTGTCACTGTAATTGTTATTCTTAAAACCTATTGGTCTTTGGACCCATCAAACAAAAGGAAAATAACTGCAACGTGTGTCAGCTTCTGAAAATAGCACATTGTAGATATTGTATGTTTTGATTTTACTTCTATAAAACTGAGCTGAATATACAACACTTCTCACTCCCAACCCAGCAGATATGGCAGCTGGCCCTGTGCTTCAAACTAAAGCTTTACATACCCAAATAGCATCAGTTTATGCACGTCATTTACCGCTTGTTACATTCACACAGCGTCTTTTCAAAATAAACGTTATTCTTCACGAACAACTTGGTTAGGTAATGCATCAAAACTTCTTGTAAGGATTGTGGTTTGGGTTATGGAGTTAAGTCAAGAACGTATGTCACACTTAGGCGCTGTTTACACGAGAACTAAACGGGTTGTATCCGCTACTTTTCTGTCGCGTATAGCCCGTGCATTCACACAAGGCCGTAACGGAAACGGAACCCGCAAACGATAACGGGTCCCAAGGTGGATAGATCTGCAAACGGAACACTCTGGGGGGCCAAACGGCTCAGTGTGTACGCCCTGTACGATCATTTTCCTGATAACGATGACACCATAGCCCCGCCTCTCCCCACCTCTGCTGCTCACTGCTGTAGTATGGTCAGTAGCTACTGCTACTGCTACTGACCATGCTACAGTTGTTAGTGCAAAATCTACAGCTCCTCTACCACAACCATCAGCAACAAGTGGACATGGAGAACTACATGAACTACATGTTGCTAAACCTTGGAGAATAAACAGAAGGGCAGCCAGGCAACCATGGCAATCATGCTCGGGGGGTCTTCTTCGCTGCTTTTGGTGTATTTTGTGGCGGAAGTACAGCGCCACTTACAGGCCCGGCATATGTGTGAAGGGACACGTTTATTGAGCCGTATCCGTGTGAACAGAATACTTTTTTGATAATGAATTCGGTTCGTTTGCGTTCTCATGTAAATGGGGTCTTAATGTGACACGTTGGGCACACAAAGATCAATGTGAATTTCAGTAGGTTGCGTAATTGAACTGACGTACGTAACTTAAAAATAATAAGTCAACGTTGCTTTTCACACAGGACACAACCGCAAGTCTCCTGGGTGACAGTCATCTGACTTCCTCCTTTACTCTATGACATATTTGATGACTTAGGAGTATGCCCTTGGGTTTATTAAAAGGCACTTTCTACATTTAAAGGTCACCTATTATGCAAAACCCACTTTTTCATGTCTTATATACATAAACATGTGTCCCCTCTGTGTAAAGAGATTCTGAAAGTTTCAGGAAAAAAGATTTGCTCACTTTTTGTCCAGATCCATTTAAATAAAAACCTGACTGAAAATGAGCTGATCAGATTTAGTCCACTTTATGATGTCATAACGTACAGTGTATGCGCGCCACAGTTAATACAATTCTCAAGTGGTGGCTCACACAACAACCCCAGAGCCACCACTTGAGCCGGGGAAACAAGGTATGTAAATGTCAGTAAACTTCCAAAGTTATGCAAACATGTAAGCAAAGCATAAATTACAGCGACGTTGACGTTACTTTG